TAAGACAATGTTTACTAAAAACATGTTTATTAAAAACAATACAGTGCCCAGAGCAATAAGTTCCTGATAAGGGCTGGCCCATGGAAACGCCCTGACCTTGAACTTTTCCAATCCAGAGCAACAAGTTCCTGATAAGGGCTCGCCCATGGGAATGCCCTGACCTCGACCTTTTCTAAAGACTAACCACCTCTTTCTGACCCAGCCACCACCGCCTCTGATGTCAGGATATATATAACCAGCCAGGGTAGGAATAAAGGAGAGCCTTCTTGAGGAGCCTTCTGGAAGCCACCTATGGGTCTCTATCCCAACACCCTCCGCACATTCTCGGATACAGGCTGTGCAGCGGGCGTGACATCTTAAGAATAAAATTAAATGGCATAAGTATGCAAATATCTCTTCAACATCCTGATCTCAAGTTTTTTTGGATAAATACCCATAAGTAAGATTTCCAGATAATATTAAAGTTTTATTTTAACCTGTTTTTATACTGTTTTCCCTATAGTAGCACTATTATAGCTCAGAGATGAAAATAGACTATGTATATTAGTCAAAGAAAACATGTATACACACATACAGCAGAATATTGTATTTCCTGTACAAGAACATCTTGTAATACTCAACAACACAGATGAACCTTGGGGAAGCTTTGTTAAGACAAGCAAGATGGCCACTGAAGGGCATTGACTATAATTCTCCTTATATGTGTTATGTGAAGTATTTAGGGGTATCTAAAAGTATTTGAAGTACTCAAATTCATAGTAACAGAAGACCCCAAGAGCTAGAAGTAAGGAGAAGAGGGGCCAGTTGTCAAAGGGGTACCAAGTGATATGAAAATCTTCCAGTGTCCTGGTATATGATGTTATGTGTACACAGTGTTCTATCCTGGAAAACCTGCTCACAGAGCACATACAATGTCTTTTCACACAGTGTTAAATGAGTATAGAGAGAATGACTGGTGACTGAGAGGAGTGTGCCTTCCTTAAAATGGAAGACAGGCAAAGCTTCTTAGGAGCAGACAGGACTTGACACCAGACTGTGAACAGAGATCTTATTTAAAAACCATAGTCACCTAGACAACTTACGTTTTTTTCTAGAAGCCATATTAGACACTAGGTAAATGAATTTGAATCACATATTTTATAGAGTCCACTATGTTCAAAGTATTACTTTGCCATATTAAAAATGCTACTTTATCATATTACTTTATCATATTAAAATTTTACTGGCTTATTTTTATTTTTTGTGAAAAATCTATCAATTCACATTGTATTTCAATTCAGAGTAAAAGCATTTTTAAGTCCTCATGAATCAAGAACAATTAGAACAGCTAAGAGAGAACAAAGGAAATCTGAAGCAAATTTGGAGTTAGAGAAAACTGTCTAGAGTAGATGGGACCTGAGTGATGAATCATAGGTGAAATTGAAAGAGAGACAGAGGAAGCCTTTCTTAGCTCCCTTGTAGCTCACACAAAAACATGGAAATCTTTCTGTGCATAGCACATTCCCCAAGTGTTTTAAAACTCCCTTCTAGAACAATAATGATCTATATGCATCATAAATGTGTCCCACTTTTGTGGCTGGGATATGGTTCAGTAACACACTTAACATGCAAGTATGAGATCCTGAGTTTGGCTCCCCAGCATCTACATGAAATGCTGGGCACAATAGCTGTTTTCTGTGTCAGCAGAGACAGGTTGATCTCTAGAATTTCTTCACCAGGCCATGCATCCTAGCTGAGTCAGTGAGTTTCAGGTTCAGAGATTTTATCTAAAATCTCTAGATTCAGAGATTTAAAATCATCAGGTTTTAGAGATTTTGTCTAAAAGATATACAGTAACATGAGGCCTCTGCAGTTACAAGCACTTGTGGCTCTTACAGAGCACCAGGGTTTGGTTCTCAGCACCCACAATATAGCTCACAACCACCCAAAATTCCAGTTCCTGGGTATCCGATGTCCTTTTTTGGTCTGTAAAGTCACTGGGCACATACATGGTGTGCACATAGACATGCAGACAAAAAGTAATACACTTATAATACCAATAATACATAAATATTTTTGAAAAAATAGTCATGTGGAGAGCAACAGAAGGCACCCAATATTGGTTCCTGGCCCTCAAATGAATATGTAGACATTAACATGTGTACCTCCTGTCTGGGCCCGCCAGCTAGTCTGGGATTGTACCTGAGAAGAGGGGTGCAAATTGAGGAAAGAAACAAACAAAAAACAAGAGACACATTTGGGAGGACTTTCAGTTTTAATGTTCAAAGTCTTTATAGTCCCATTAAAAGAGGAGGAGAAGGCTTTCCATTAATACAATGAACAGACACAGTAATTACCTCTTGAAAACATAAAACATCAAGGAACCATATCCTGAGTTAAGTATTCTGTTGTTTAGGCAGGACATTCAGCAACCATACTTTAGACCATGGATCTTGTTGCATTTATATGTTAGGCCAGACATCTCTGCTGTTTCACTTTGGAGGAGCAAGGGCAGGTCTTAAGTCAAAATGGAATGGAGTCAATTATGTGTGTTCCCACAAACTTCATGTGTGTGTATATATCTCTTAACAACACACACACACACACACACACACACACTTCAAACTGTTTCCTATCTTAGATACGTAAATATTTGATGCACAAATGAAGAAATAAAAAATGTATAGTGAAAAGAATTGTTCAATAAAAAGAGGATTTCTGTCTGTGATGTTTGCCCTCTTAAAATCTTTTCAAACACAGACTCTGGTACATGCGTGGGTTTCCTTCAGTGTATCTATTCAGGGGAGGTTTTGCAAACTCCTTCTGAATAAGTCCTTATTGTTAAAGAAATAATTGCTAGTTTTGAGTAAAATTTTATTGAACAGTCTTGAATAATTATCTAGTGAGGTGTGTTTCGAAATTATTGTCTATGTTATATGCAGCGTTTTATGAAATAATTGGTGGTTGGTACAATGCCTCAATGAAATAACTGCTTGTTTAGTGCAATATTTTACCCACATTGTTTATGCTTTGCACAGTTTTCATTTGTCCTGGATCTTTTCTGGCAAAATAGTTCATTAAATATTTTCTTGTCTACCTAATGGGGAGATGAGTTTTTGCAGCTTTGAATTACTATGCACCTGCTTGGGTTATTGAGCCATGGAAAGGGAAACAAAGTCTCAATCTTTTTTTTAATAGATTTTTTAATTAAATTAGGAACAATCTTATTTTACATATCAATCCCAGTTCCCTCTCCCTCCGATTCTCCCTTGCCCTCCCCATCCCCTATTCAGTACCTCAGGGAGAGTGGGGATTTCCATGAGGGATTATCACCATCTGTCAAGTCATTTGGGGCAAGGCCTAGGCCCTCCCCTATGTATCTAGGCTAAGAGAGTATCCCTACATGTCAAATTGGCTCCCAAAGTCCATTCCTGTACTAGGGATTCATCCTGGTTCTGCTGCCAGAGGCCCCTTAGACTCCTCAGTGCTCCTAACTGACACCCATGTTAGGGGGCCTGGTTTGGTCCTATTTTGGTTCCCCAGTTGTCAGACTGGGGTCCTTGAGTTCCCACTTGCTCAAGTCAGCTCTTTCTGTGGGTTTTCCCAGTGTGGTCTTGACCTCTTTGTTGGTCACTCCTCCCTCTCTGAGTTTGGCTCAGTGCTTGGTTGTGGATCTCTGTTTCTGCTTTCATTAACTACTGGATGAAGGCTTTAGGAATGCATTTAAGCTAGTCATCCTTCTCATTATAGGGGACGGGCATTTAAGGTAGCCTCTCCACTATTGCTTAGGGTTTTAGCTGGGGGTCATCCTTGTGGATCTCTGTACAATTGCCTAGTGTCAGATTTCTTTTTAAACCTACAGTGGCTCCTTCTATTGATGTGTCTCTTTTCTTGCTCTCCTACATTCCTCTCTCCACTCAATCTTCCTGATTCCTCATGTTCCCCCAGTGAAGAGGAAAGGGCAAGAGCCCCTGAACAAATGGGGAGCATGGGGGAGGGGGGAAGGAGGTAAGGAAAAGAGGAGAGGAGAAGAGGAAGTGGGAGGAGAACTTGAGGAAACAAAGTCTCATTTTTTTTTGCGATCAACTTTTTCTTAATTTTAATTTTAAATAGCTTGTTTTACATGTCAATCCTAGTTCCCTCTCCCTCCCCTCCTCCCGCACCCTCCCACCATTCCCCCCATCCTCCCACCCTATTGCCAATTCCTTCAGCATAGGGGATATCTAGAGTCTATCATTTCATTCAGGGTAGGGTCCAGGCACTTTCCCAAGAGTCCAGGCAGAGAGAGCAACCCTCTTTGTGTTATGGACACACGATGTCTGTTAGTATTCGAGGGATAAACACTGATCCACTGTTCAGGACCCCATAGGTAGCCCAGGCCTCCTCATTGACTCTCACTTTCAGGGGGGTCTAGATCGGTCCCATGCTGGCCTCCCAGCTGTTGGTGGTCTGGGGTCCAAGAGCTCTCCCCTGGTTTTGCCAGCCCATTCTTTGCCAATTTGCTCATTGCTCCTCTCTCTCTGTCGCTGGGTTCCTTGGGTTCTGTTCAGTATTTAACTGTGGGTGTTTGCCTCTGCTTCCATCAGTCACTGGATGAAGGCTCCAGGATGGTTATAGACATCAAGTTCACTATCAGGAATGGTCATTCAAGGTGGTCTCTACACTATTGCTTAGCTTGCCAATTGGTGTCATCCCTTTAGATCACTCGAGGTCACAATGGTGGGGGGTAGGATAGGGGGAAGAGGGAATCATAGGTTACAAAGTCTCATTCTTAAGCACACAAGTTGCCACTAATTTCATTGTACATCCAGTGGCCAAAGAGCAAATACAATGTTGATGATCACCATGCTGGGGTGAGCACGGAAGCATAGTCAGTATTTTCTGCTGTGTTCCAAGGTAAATGTCCTAGAATCATAGTTTGGTGTTTCAGATCAGTATCTATTAAAGGAATGGGGAGAGGATGGGACTAGGCAGAATATGAAATGTGATGCAAACCAATTGTGTCTCTACCATGGTGGCAGGGTCAAGTGGTGACTGGTAGAGCTACCCTGTCTGAAGTATTGGCCCTCTGCTTCTGGCAAGATGCTGACTGTTCTGAAGAAGGCATTATTTGGGCCCTGAAGACTACAGCTATGGAAGATCTTGAAGGCAACCTCTGGAGCCTACTGCTGACTGCACTCCCCACAGCTGGCTGTAGCTCCTTCTTAAGTTGATCTGGCTATAGGGACTGAAGTTTACACCCACTGTTAAGCCACTGCTGCTGATCAGTTATACACAAGTTTATTTCAGCCTCTAAATAAATTGATTTCAGCTGTATTTTTCACTTAGGTATATTTCTCACCAAATGGTAATTAAAATCTTATGTAACTCAAGACTGGAATGGTAGTTAGTAAGAATTCCTTTTTAAAAGTCTTTTTATGTTAGACATGTATATGTGACACTGAACTACCTAATTTAGTTTTTATGCCAAGGTAGCACAAGTCCTTTGTAACAAAACAAAATAGTGGAAGTATATAATGCTGAAAGATGAATGGTTCCCTGAGGTTTCATTTAATTAGGTCTGTTCTCTTAGGAAAGCACTATGAACAGTTTGGTTTTCAGAGTGTAAATCCAGTGATAAATATATATGTATAATATATATGTATATCTGTATTCAAGGTTAATATGCTTACACATTTTTAAAACTTAAAATAATAGGAAATCTTTGTATACAGCACTCTTCAATTCCTTATTTTAGGAAGTAACTTGTTTTCCACAAGGTTAAATACAAATCTATCTCATATTTATCTTGTAACATGCAGGAGGTATTTACAGTTTTCAGCAGTTCACCATTACCTAAAAAGAGCCAAAGGATGTTTTTACAAATATCTGTGTGTATGTGCCAGAAATTACTGTGAGATAAATTCACAGAGGAGTTTGTGAGAATGAAGATCAGGTTTATATCATCTTCCTGAATGGTTGTAGTGATTCAAGGGTCCATCCACAATCTTTGTGAAAACTACTCTCTTAAGAATGTGGTATATTTACACAATGCAGTACTATTCAGCAGAAAAAAAAACAATGGAATCCTGAGATTTTCAGGCCAATGGATGACACTAGAAGAAACCATCCTGAATGAGGTAACACAGTCACAAAAAAGAGAAACATGGCATGTACTCTCTCATATATGGATTTTAGACATAGAATGGGGAGTGCCAGCCTACAATCCCATGGCCAGAGAGTCTGGCTGATGGAAGAAGAGGCACACTCCCATGGCTAAGCACTGAGCTGAACTCAAGAAAGCCAGTAACAGAGAGGGAGGACTGATGACCAAAGGGATTAAGACTGGGCTGGTTTAACACCCAGAAACAGCTGACCTGAAAAAGGTTAACTTTTGAATCCCAGGCATCAGCCTGGGAATCCAGCATGGGACTGATCAAGACCCCCTGAATGTGGGTGTCAGTGAGGAGGCCTAGGTAATCTATTGAGCCTTGGGCAGTAGATCAGTACTCATCCCGAGTATATATATGGACTTTGGACTCCCATCCAACAAAGTGAGATGCACTCTCACCCTGAACTCTTGGGGGAGGGTCTAGGCCCTGCCTTGGATGAAATGACAGACTATGGACACCCCAATGGAGGGCCTCACCCTCCTTGGGGAAATGAGGGGATAATGGGGGGGTTGGGGTTGGGCAAGGGAGGAGGAGAAGGAAAGGGAGAGGGACCTGGAACTGACTTGTGAAGCAACCTTGTTTCTAGTCTAAATTTAAACTTTAACAAAAAAAAGAGTTAGCCAGGCTCCGGGAGACTGACCTCTTGGAGGTAGATAGAGCAAAGGCACAATGCTGGGACTGTTATTAGGCCAGTGGGGGATATGGCTAGAAAGGTTCCTCTGGGATACAGTGACAGCCATGTGTCTTTTGCCAATGTATCCTAGCCACGGGCAGCCGTATGCATTGTGTTTGTTTCCACCTGGACACACCAGTGCAATGTTACACTTCAAATACTGCCAGCCTTGGCTTGGCAACCTATGCCAAAACCATTGCACTAAGAGATAATGAGTCAAGAGAGGTACAACAGAGGAACTTGTCAGGCATCTCTTGTGATGAGGCTAGTAAAATATGTATTGATTTGAAATCCTTTTAAAATTTGAATAGTAAAGCCTGAGCATTTCCCTTAAAAAAAAGAGTCTAGTCTTCTCATTTTCTAAATTTAATATATGTTAACTGTTGTTGTTTTTATTTTGTATACACTTGTGTCTCTAGGAGAAATAATTCTAAATAATAGAGATAGTATTCATTATGCCGTATAAGTTAAATTATATAAAAAAACAATTTTGCTGTAGCTAGGTTGATAGACAATGTAATATTGCAGTTTGAAGTTTTGGTAATGGGCGGTGGTGGTGCAGGCCTTTAATCCCAGCACTCGGGAGGCAGAGGCAGGCAGATCTCTGTGAGTTCGAGATCATCATGGTCTACAAGAGCTAGTTCCAGGACAGCCTCCAAAGCCACATAGAAACACTGCCTAGAAAAAAAACTAAAATAAAAAAATAAAAATAAATGAAGTCTTGGTAACAAACCACAGAAATGAATGACAAGGAACTTAATGACAAAAATAAAATATTGGAAGGAAGTTGAGTAGTGTCACTGCTCCAGGGCTAGTGGAACCTGGGAGAATTGAGCTAATAAATGAGGCAGACTAAAGTCTTATACAATAGCTGACTTTGTTCAGAGACCCAGAGTAAAGTTCTCCTGAGTTCAAGGTGTATATAATCACAAGGACAGGCTGCATGTAGCAAAATAATTTTTTCCATAGAGGCATAAAAAGGATAGTTTAAACATTTAATTGGATAACCACAGCAAGTAACAATGAATAATCTGAAATAAATTTAAACTTACCCTCCTACACCTGGGAGGAGTACAAAAACACATTCCAAGAACAATTCTGTGTTTTGAAGAAACTGAGGTCACAAGACCCTTGTCTTGTTTTCTTGGAGTGTTCTTACCAGCACCCAGAACTCTCCTCAAATGACTCCATTATTGGACTGTGTTCTGACAAGAAGTGCATAGAATAAACACGGACCACTGTGTCAGGTATGGAAAACACGACGAGAAAGAGTAAGTTGCAGTGTTTCTTTTCAAAAATCACCCATGGAAGTCAAAATGCCCAGGCTCTTAGCACAACTTTATTTGGAAACAGTGTGCCTGTAGAAAGTTAGTTAAATTAACAGGATTCCTGATGGAGGAAAGTTGGTTTTTCATCTAACATGCTCTTGAGAAAGAGCTCCATGTGAAAAGACACAAGAATCATCCAGGATTGCCTTACAGTAGTTGAGGTGTTTAATCTTTGAGCCAAGAAATGCCAAGTTGCCAGGTATCACTACAATCTAGGAAAGGAACAAAAGATATTCAGCCTAGAGGAATCAATTATGCTATAGCATGGCCTTGAATTAACACTGCCTTAAATTGCAATCTCCATGGTATATGCCACCAGTTTGCAATGCTTTCTTATGGCAGTGTTACAGGATTAGAACAGACACATACAAAGACATATTCCAAAGATAGATTATAAATTGCAAAGATAGATTATTAGGCAGTAGCTTCACATCAGTTACTGTCTTGAGTACTTTATATGTGTGGAGACCTTTAGATTTCTGAACTGTGCTATATTAGAGTAACTGTGACACACTTTATTTTCTAGTTAATTAGGTGGAAGCATACATATGAACATTTTAAGATATGCATTTCCTCAATATAATGCATTAATTACAAAGCTGAGTTTCAAGTTCCAGAAATTCTGTTTTTGAACTATTCCTATGTGTGCAGGCAATTCAGTTGAATTGGGTCTTAACAAGGATGAGTCTGTTTTAGCCATTCCCGAGATGTGCTGCTGGTGCCTTTGAGCTGCTTGTAAAGGAATTGAGAGGTAACATATTATCCCATAATTGCACTGTGTTATTAGCCTAACCCCTTTCAGAATCAGTAACGTTTTCTTAATCAGTAACGTTTTGCTAGCCAAAGCATAGTGATTTATGAGTTCTGATTGCCTCAGGTAAAACATCTTCTCCTTGGAAGAAGGAACGAGATATGGTAACATTCACTGTGCAGCAAGTTGGTTATTTCTAAGCACCCAATGTGTTACAAACCAGAAAAGATTTCCTATAATACCTGCAGTTCTGGATCACTTATCATCACTTACAATTCCCAAGCCTTTTAGACCTCCTGCCTGTTGGCACATTCTTTCTAAAAATGGGGCTGGGAATTTATGCTTTGTTTGTTTAGCTGTGTTGCTGGTACATACACAATGGTTTTAAGTAAAAATATATGTATATATTAACTTGACAATGTAAAATATTTTATTAATGATATCTGTAAGTGCAATTAATGATTTCATGTATTGACCCCGCCCCTGGTCTTTTGATGTCTACATTTACCTAATGATTCCTATGTACATAAGTCCCCTGCAGTAGGGAAGAAGCCTTGTTCTGGTGCTCCAGGAGCCTAAAGCATACAGAGTCAATTCAACCTGACTCTATTAAGGTGCTTTAATGAGTTTAACATGGATTTTTAAAAATATGATTCATTGATAGATCTATTGGCATTTGGGAAAGGTAACTCTTCAGGAAGATCTGTTTTGTGCTTTGTTAAATACTTCCCAGCACTCCTGGGCCTTGTGCTCTGAATACTAGCAGCATTCTCCTCTCACAAACAGCAATGACTCTACAAAATCACACATGTCTACAAGGAAGAATGAAGCTGTACACAGTTGAGATGCAATGGGTAAAATGAACACAAACATACCATTGCAGGCTTGATGAGTAATGTGATGGCTAAGGTGAGACTCTGCTTGCTAAAATTGGCCAGTTGAAGAGTAAAGTACATGACGAAAAATATGTTCTTCATGAATATCGGAAACAATACTCTGAAAATTCAAACATTAGGAACTATCTTGATTTCATTTTACATGTGACAGTTCCAAAATTGAAAGGTCACTAAAGCAGTTTGCTACCTTTAAATATGCACTGTCTTTTTTGAAAGAGTAACCCTTCCTTCCTTCCTTCCTGCCTCCTTCCTTCCTTTGTTACTTCATTCATTTCTTGCTTTCCTTCTTACTTCATTCATTTATTCCTTTCTTCTTTATTTCTTTCTTGTATAGGGAGAATTTGAGACTGCTATGGAACAGAAATTTTTCAAATATGTTTTTCTTCTTAATATATCTACCGAAAGAAAGCTTAAAATGTAAGGGTTTGATGTAAGCAGAGAAGATAGTTATGATTACTGAACTATTAAAATACAGTGCCCTTCCTAACAAGATCGAAAATGTGATGGTTT